CTGACATTCAATCAATCAAGCAATCAAGCAGGTAACGAGAGAATCTGTAGAAACTATTATTATTTTCTAAACAACCCAACTAATTTGTAAGTAGCCGAAACAAGTATAAAATTAATCAAAGAAATTTAATAATTACTTGCCACAAATTAATATAACGTAATGTGCCACACATGCACATAAAAGTAAATTACTATTATTACTGTTTTGATTTCATTCATCCCATCATTTAGAAAAGGGTTTGACCAAGAACATCTGTAGATCTCTCTGTAGATCTTCAAATGGAAAAAATCTTTCTCAATCAACTAGAAATAAATGATGTAATCTACCGTCATCACCCTCACATAAATGCTATCATATGTCGTAGTAATCAGCAAAGTTTAGGTTTCCTTCATAGTGAGATCTGCAAAGAATGCCGTAAATAATACTTTGAAATTGGCGCCTTTTCTAAAAATCTTCATTTTAATTACGAAATAAATACCTGACCACACTTATCATTATTCGATTTTAAATAATTGGAGTGTTGTTAACATCGTATTAAAACAAAATGTTATACAGTATGCCAAGCCACAAACTGGCCTATTTGAGCAATTCGTTAATTAGAAACTTGGCAAATTGAGTGAATGAATTTGTTAAAAGGTTCATTCATCGACGGAAAATTCCTCCGTATTGACGGAGACCTAACCCCTTATTACTATTGTTACTATGAGAGTTAGATTCCGTTTCCATTGCCCAAGCCTCATATATTCTCCTTTGTTTGCAGGCTGATGAAAATAATTATATGGAGTTGTTAATTTAGCGTATCTTTTGTTTTTAACTCCTATTTTAGACCTGAGCACGGAGTAACGAATCACTCCCCGACTTATTAGGAGTTTGGTACGATTTTGAAGAATGCAGATAAAGACTAATCTGTTGTGAACCGGAGATATAGACGTCTACGATGCATGGGAATCCATCTGTCAATCAATCAATTTCATTGTCAAGGTATTTTGATTTGGAAAACAGAAAGAGAGGATCGCCACCATATTCGTTCATATTATACAGCTTTGCAGCAGGAAGCAGGAGCAACGAAATAATTTATATGGTCTTATGGTGGGTGATACAAGGATAAAATCCCATTATTACAAAAAAAATTACACTAATCTTTTCATTCAAACGTGCAGCTGATTTTATAGTCTAACCTTTTTTGTTAAATGTTTATTTATTATATAATAAACACAATACTATATACAATGATTATACAACAACTGTTAATACTTTATATATTAATATAATACATGAATGACAGTTAATGAAATTGTGAATGAGCGAGTGAATGGGCGAGTGAATGGGCCATTTTGATTTTTTGACGTGTCATAGTTTCATGTGATACCGATCGACAAATTATATTATTATTTTTTACCCTTGAAATCATCCGATTTAGCCAATTTTAAACTCGATCACATAGACGGATGGATCGATGAATGGATGAATGAACGAATGTTATTTACATAAAAACTGAGCCTAATTAATCAATATGAAACATAAAAACTTGACAAATATATATCGAAGGCGCATGTTTCATGCGTGCGTGTATTATTTTGACAAAAACAACAACAAACAAATGATTATTAATCAGATTGTGGGGATTAATTGTAAACTCAATCAATTGATAAAAAAGTTGACTATGAACTGATTGAGCAAAAGTCACACTCGCACAAAAATATACAACACGCAACACATACACATACACAAAGCACACACACACACACGTACAAAAAAAAAACACACACACACACGCACTAGATTTCTTATTTGTCTGATTTTTAGCAGCTTATAAAGTATGTGCATATATAAGACACATTTGATCGATTAATGGAGTACTCGATTTATTGTAACAGATATAATATAAAAATCCATAGTTCATTGGTTTATAAATTTTCAAACAACAAATAAACAAAAAATTAACTGGCGGATAATTTGGATAGATGGATGGATGGATAAATGTTGATGGATGGGGTGGGGTGGTAATAAAGAATTGAATTCTTGGGGGGAGGGGGGATGAATTAACGGGCTGATGGATTGATTGATAATCAGATTGTTAAACAATAAAAATTGCACGAATGATAATGTTGAATGATAATATTTGTGATGGATTATATATATATAATAACAAACATAAATTTAAAAACATCTAAAATGCGTAATTTTAGTACATATCAAATTTTTAGCGGAGATATCATTCAAGTTAGTTATTGATTTGACATCGTATCAAACCCGCGAAAATATTTTTTACACAAATAAAAAAAACTCGCTGATATACACGTTCGTAATAGGTGTGAATGGAATTAACAATCATTGACGAATTATTATTAAATGGTCGTATATGTGTGTGTGTGTTTGTGTGTGTTTGTGTGCTTGTGATTGAGAGAGTAAACGGATGTGAAAGAAACGGAGACTTTTAAATGAATAGATAAATAAACATTATTCGTGTCATCCATCATCCACCATCAATCATGTCAATCATAATAATAATTACTTAAAACTGTCATGATTGAGATGATCACGACAAATAAGCAACTTATTTCTCGTTTCTAAATTGCTTTGTTATCCTTAATTTTTAATTACAATTGATCACTTTAGTCTAATATATATGGAAACGATCACCAACAACAAATAAACAAATAAATTGTGATGAATGAATGACAAGAAATTAAGTTTAATTTAAAATGAGTTGACGGGTGCATTAAAGTGTATGCATGTGTGTATGAATGAATGAATGCAATTAAGTAGGTGAAAGTTATGCACAAGAATTACAAAAATCGACGTGAAAGAAGATCTTTATAAAATACAGTAAATGCATTATGGTAATCTATTATTAATATTAATTAATAGGATTCCTTTCTCCCCTTCCTTTCTCATACACGACTTTTCTTCTTAACGTCCAATTCCTGTTAATTCACGTAACAAATCAAAAAATTAACAAAGCCCGTGAAAATTTCCATTTTACACGATCATCACCATGTTACACGCGAATAAAATAAAATTTTGATCGACGATTATGAACGCTAGTACATATTAATAGCAATAATAAATAATAAATAAAACAGTCTTTCTCTATTATATTGCCGGGAATAAATAAAAATATCCTAGTTTAAAATTTAAATATCAACAAATACTATATATCTATATAACTTGCAAAGTGTGTATTACAGCATGGTGGCTTATCGATTGATATATCTATTACGGGTTTCCTAATACTATCGTTCTTTTGCTCGCTCCTCTTTTTCATACTTGGCGAATCTGCAGGTCGAATAAATAATACAATACGTAACAATAACAAATAACTCCTGTAAACCCTAAAAAATCTTTACAACGATTACAAGCTTACTTTGCTTGCAATTCGCGGCTCGTTAACATCTTTAGAATAATACAAAAACAGAAAACCGAAATACCTCTACTTGGTTAATCTAATGTCTACAGCCGAATCACAAACACAATACTTTACTTTGTGCATTGCATTATACCAAATCCTCGCACACTATACCTGAACCTTACTGCTCTAACCAACCAGACTTTTATACCCAAGGTCCAACTAACCTCATACTATAGACTCATACACGCACAAAAAAAGCAACAATTTACAACAAAAACAAAACGTGGTTTTTAAATTTTAAAATTTTAAAATAATAATAAGAAACGATTTATTGCCGTGTAACCAACATTTGACCAAATAGTCAACGCATATCGGAGACTCATTATGCATGTTACAAAAATACTTTTGCTAAATTCGTCGTTACAAATAAGCGCTGATACAGTAGATTATTAACATGCAGATTAATCCTCCTGGTTTTTTATTTTCATTGATAAAAATGGTTTCTTTGAAAAAAAATTACTTTATTGAGAAAAATTAAATTTTATGAAATCGATCATCTCCAATTTCTGGGGAGTGTATATTTTTTTTAAAGTAAAAACTTATATGGAGAACACAAAACATTTTTTACCCCCAGGACACATGCAGAAAACAAATAAATATGTGGTATACAAAATTTCTTAACGCATTGTTACAATTTTTATTTATCTACTGTATTTATTTATCCTGAATAATAATTGATAATAACTATTAAGCATCATAACTCCTTCCTAATTCACACAATCGAATTCACACACAAAACCAACTCCGCTTAACCATTCAATCCCATCCAATTTGCTGATTATTTATTTGCTATTATTGTTTGTTTCCTTCTTGATTGATTAATATGGGAAGTTACGACCGATGTTTTTTTATCTTAAAATTAATTAATTAATTTACTCGATTAAACAAATCGATTGATTTGTTTTCCTTTTTTAATTATTAATATTTTCATACATTCCTTTTCAATGTTTTCTCCACTCGCCACTACACAACGACAACAATACATTATTGTCAGTTTGATTGTTGTTTAATTGATTTATTTGATTTATTGATTTATTGATTGATTGATTAATAATTAAAATTAATTAACTAACAATATTAATTAATTTAAAATCAATATTTTTTTTTTTTAATTAATTCAATCAATTTTATTTATTTTTTTTGCTTTTTTATTGACAAAAATAATCAATCAATCATATTCGGAGTTGACTTCCTTTTCATTTTCCTCACCAATCTCATTTTTTAATTCAATTTCAAATTTTGATCTCCTACATGTATATTCTCTTTATGTTTTTTCCCAATTAGAAACAATTTAATTAAATTTTAATGTATTTTATTAATTACATGTTTAAACGGCAAGCTTTAGGTAAACCAATCAATTTTAATTAATAATAGTTGATTAAGTTACCAATTAGTTGGTAAAACGAACTACTAATATTATTATTATTCTTGGGAACTTTAAGGGTTTAATTTAAAAATTTTGGAGTACTACACATGATGCATTATAATACATGTTCATCAATCAACCAATAGTATTTTTACACATGTGTAATACTAATTTTTTTTAGAAAAAAAATTTTTTTTTTTTCAAAATAAAAAAATTTAAAATATGGTAAATGTAGTTCTAGGTTTAGATGCAAAAAATCAAGCATCACTTATAAAGGCGATAACGTTTGGTCTTATAGCATTCGTAGCGATAGCAAGTAGATTATTTAGTATAATACGTTTCGAGAGTGTCATTCATGAGTTTGATCCCTGGTTTAATTATCGTGCAACAAAATATTTGGTATCAACAAATTTTTATGAGTTTTGGAACTGGTTTGACGAAAGATCGTGGTACCCTTTAGGTAGAGTCGTAGGTGGCACAGTCTTTCCTGGTCTAATGGTAACTTCAGCTACCATATACAATGTATTACACTCTTTAAATTTCCCTGTTGATATTCGTAACATTTGTGTACTGTTGGCACCACTTTTCTCAGCTTTCACGGCTTATGCTGCTTATTTATTGACAGCGGAAATAAAAGATTCGTCAGCTGGTCTTTTAGCAGCTGCTTTCATCGGGGTGGTGCCCGGTTATATATCAAGATCTGTCGCTGGATCATATGATAATGAAGGAATTGCTATTTTCTTGTTAATGTTTACTTTTTATTTATGGATCAAAGCGCTCAAACAAGGTTCAGCATTTTGGGGTGCATTGACAGCATTTTTTTATTTTTATATGGTAGCAGCTTGGGGTAATTATATATATATATATATGTATATGTATATGATTTTTAGTGTCAAATTAATACATATATATATATATATTTATTAATCGATTAATTATACATCGACGATAGGTGGATATGTGTTTATAATTAACTTGATCCCACTTCACGCGTTCGTATTGATATTAATGGGTAGATTTTCAAATAGATTATATGTGGCATATTCATCATTTTATGTTCTCGGTACGCTGATGTCAATGCAAGTTCCATTTGTCGGATTCCAACCCACTTTTACCAGTGAACATATGGCTGCGTTAGGTATGTATATATATTTTTTCGTCCGTTTTGATAATAAAATGCCCCGCCCATCTGTGTTAACCTTTTCTCTATCATTCTCAAAAAAAAAAAAAAAAAAGGAATATTTGGATTATTACAAATAATAGCATTTGTCGAACTAGTAAGAAGTCATGTTCCCTCGGATCAATTTCAAATTCTATTAAAAGGTTTTGTGGTAATCTCATTTATGATAATGCTTTTGGGATTGGTGTTGCTGACGCTGTCTGGGGTCATTGCACCATGGACCGGAAGATTCTATTCTTTATGGGATACAGGCTATGCAAAAAAATACATTCCCATCATCGCATCAGTATCAGAACATCAACCAACAGCCTGGCCATCATTTTTCTTTGATCTTCAACTTTTGGTCTTTTTATTTCCGGCTGGAATCTACTTTTGTTTCAGGGAGTTGCAGGATGAACATGTTTTTGTGATATTGTATGGCATCACCTCCTCGTATTTTGCAGGAGTTATGGTTCGGTTAATGTTAACATTGGCACCTATTGTTTGTGTCACGTCGGCTATAACCATATCGAAATTGTTGGATTTGTATTTGGATGTGGGAACGTTGGATGATGATGAAGATGATGCTGACAACAATGACAAAAAGGCCACGAATTCGAAATCAGTAACAGATGATAAAGGAAAATCTCTTGATAAATCTGGCAATGGTGGTGGTGGTGGTGGCTCACGAAATAAATCACAGGAAAAAAAGAAATCTACTGGTGGTGGTTTGAAAGGAATCGGTGATCAATTTTTTGGAGTTCTAGGGTTGGATACTCGTATAATAGTGTTGAGCAATATCTTTTTCTTTTTGGTGTTATTTTCATGGCATTGTACATGGGTAACATCAAACGCATACTCGTCTCCATCGATCGTGCTTGCGTCCAGACAAGCAGACGGATCGCAAGTTATAATTGATGATTTTCGAGAAGCGTATTATTGGCTAAGAAAAAACACAGACTATTCTTCAAAGGTGATGTCATGGTGGGATTACGGATATCAGATAGCCGGGATGGCTGATAGGACAGTGTTGGTTGACAATAACACATGGAATAATACGCATATTGCCACAGTTGGTAAAGCGATGTCGTCGAATGAGGACGTGGCGTACGAGATAATGAGAAGACATGATGTCGATTACGTGTTGGTGATATTTGGTGGGTTGTTGGGATACTCGGGCGATGACATTAACAAGTTTTTGTGGATGATACGTATTGCCGAGGGAGTTTATCCAAAGGATGTGAAGGAAAGTCTTTTTTTCAATTCGAGAGGAGAGTATCGAGTTGATGATGAGGCCACACCGACAATGAGGAATAGCATAATGTACAAAATGAGCTATCATAATTACAATGAATTATTTGGAGGACAAGGTGGTCATGACAGAGTCAGGAATTCAAGATTGCCAAGTGGTAAGATTGTTTTGAATACTTTAGAGGAGGCATACACCACAGAGAATTGGATAGTCAGAATATACAAGGTTAAGGATTTGGATATTATAGGACGTAGTTTGGAGGATGCAACGAGTTTTGAAATGGGAAAGAAAAAAAGAAAACGTACAAATAAACCAAAAAGAACATGAATGAGTGATTGAATGATTGATTGAATGATTGAGTTGAATTGAATTGATTGAATGATTGGTTTGATTTGATTTGATTTGAATGTTTGTTTGTTTGAATTGTTTGTTTATTTGATTGTTTGATTGATTGGATGTTAGGAGCTTGGCGTTTTAATTTTATTAATGTATTTATTAGGTTTATTAATGCATAATTTTTATATTTAAAAAAAAAAAAATTCACAAATATTAATGCTTTATTATATGTTGTATATTACATATTATATTAAAACTTTTGTATATTTTTTTATTTTGTTGTTTGTTTTTATTTTGTTTTATTTGTTTGTTGATGTTTTCTTATTTAAAATTAATTTATTTTCCAAAAATCTTTATATGCAAAATATATCAAATATAAATAGATTTATTAAAAAAAGCAAAAGCGTGATATAATTTTAATTGGTTTAATACTGATGAAATATAATTGGTTAATTATAGCCATAAAAAGAGTGAATTGTGAGCGAAAGTGATAAATGAATAAATGAATTTGATTTGTTGATTATGTCCTTTGTACTACAACGATTTATTTTTTTTGATGTTTTTCTTTTAAAAATCCTGTTCAAAAACCTGTAAAATAAATTTACAATAATGATCTTGATGTTACTATTATTATTATTATTACTATATTACAATATTACACGTTTTATATAGATTTCAATGAATATATATTAAAATCAGCATAAAAAGTAATTTAATGTAGTACACTTTTCTTCCAACTTTCTTAATTTTTGGAAGCAAAGCGGGAAAATAGAAAAAAAGGTTTGTGTAATTGAAAAAAATTTTTTTTTATTAAAAAGGGAGAGGTTTTTAATTAATTATAAATTTTTTGATCGTAAAAAACATTTTTAATGTGATACGATCACTCACGTAATTTTATCACATTCACACAAAATATAAAGTAAATCCGAATTAAAACCTGATTTTTGTGAAAAAAAATTTAAAAATAAAATCGCCGAGCTATCTTCTTTTTGTATATTACTATAAATGGTGTATATCTTTAAAAAATTAAAGTTATATCTTTTAATTAATTAATTAATTAATTAATTAATTAGTAGAAAAACATACAGTTAAAAAGTTTGTTATATATAAAGTTTATTTATAGATTACACATTCATTATTATTATTATTATTATTATTATTATTATTTATTATTTTATTATTATTATTTTATTATTATTATTATTATTATTTTTACAATGTTTTTAGTATGGAATCTTTTTTTTTTTTTTTAAATAATTATAAAATCCGACATTACACAAAAAGTTGATTTTTGTACTTCTTTCAATAATGTTGTTTATTAGCCGAAAGAAAATAACAATCCTACTACTGTTACTACCATTTGGACTCCAATCGGATTCTAAACATCACATATTTCAATTTCAATTAACAAAAAAAAAATTAGGAAAAAAATTTTTTTATTTATATTATTTACTTTACACACACACACACATGTAGATGATTATTTATTGTATGTATATATATATATATAAAAAAAAAAAAACTGAAATTTTTTATGTCACATATTGTAAAGTTTATGAAAGTAAAAAAAAATTATAAATATTCATAATTTCAAATGCTTCAAAAAAAAAAAAATTCAAAAATTTTAAAAAAATTTATCTTTTAATAAAAAAAATAATTTAAAAAACTTAATTTAAAAAAAAAATCTTTTTTTCCAAAAAAAATTATCAAATGTAAATTAATATTTGTATGTGTATTTATTAATTATAATTACTTTATATATATTTTATTTATTTATTGAAATTTTTTATTTAAACACGTAAATTTTTTTTTTTGATAAAATTTTTCCGCTGGATTCCGGAATTAATAAATTATTTTTCTTTTAATAGTCAAACATTTTAATTATCAAAGAAAAATAAGCTAGAGAAATTCCGGCGATCAATCAAACAGCTAATAAAAAAAAACTTTAGAACAAAACCTTTTTTTAATATATATATACACTATTTATAAATCACGCTATATATCTCTCTATTTAATTTTTTTCTCTTTCAAAATTTTCTTTAAAATATAAATCTTTTTTTAATTTTCTCTTTCCTTCACCACCAGAAAATTATTTTACAAAATAATTCGTAAACATATCAACTTCGTAAAATAATCAAAAAAACAAAACAAAAACCAAGACTATAATAATCATGCAAACGAATACAGAGGATTGTTATTGGGCATTACTATCCAGAAAAGATTTTAGCTTCTTGTACTTGTCACCTTGGTTGTCGAACAATTTGAAAAATGAATCATCAGATTTATTATTGGGAACTTCTCTTTTCGACTACTTTCGTCCTGATGAAAAGATGTTGGCTCAAAAAGATTTGACTAGAGTTAATAATAATAAGTTATCGCTTTCCATCACAAGGTAAATCATGTTAAACATACATGATGAAAACGTAAAGTAATTTGATGCCAGAATAAAACTTCAATGAACGCGTTTTCATTTTCATTTTGCTTTTTTTTCCTTTAGATGTCACTTTAGCACCATTTCTAAAATCAAAAGAAAATTGAACTTAAAATTCTCGTCTCTTTCGCCAACAACAAGTACATTCAACAATAATAATAACAACAACAATATTATTAACATCAATCATGGTTACCCCTACTCTTCTTCCTCGACCTCTTCTTCTTCCTCCTCGTCACCACAAATTCGTCCAATCAGCACAACTGCTCTTGATTTATCATCATCAACTAACGTTGATGAATATATTGTTATGGATATCGGAATCTCTCTTGTTAGTCATGATATCATTTTAGCATGTTTTCATTCTGACGATGGTAAATATTCTCTACTACCATCATTACTATTATTATTATTGTTATCATTATTGTTATCATTATTGTTGTTGTTATTGTATTGTAATCATTATTTCTCTTCTCCTCAATCAATAAGGTCGAGTACATAATGGTGATAAATGTAGTTGCGGTGAATCTTTTGAATTCACTCAAAAAGTGAGTTTTTTTTATAAATGATAATGAGATAACATGATTTCTTTTGTCCTTTTTCATCCTAACAAATTATTCATCCATTATATAATAGACAATAGATGAATTAAACAAATGTTTAAATAATAAAAATTCATCGTCACCAAATGGTTCAGCAATCAAATTCACAACTCCTCCTTCAACACCACATTCCGAAAAATTCTTTTCCGGGAATAATCCATTATTTCCACCGCCACCACCTTCCGATCGTATATTTCAAATATTTGATAGAAAATCAAAGGATCTGATTTTAACTTGGCCTAATCCAGCCATCTCATTTACCGATAATAGTAATAATACTGCCTATTACAATAAAAATGATTTCTCTAAATTAATACTAGACTGTGTCAACAACGACAACAAGATTAACAATTATAACAATTACAATACTCCAAACTGTTTAAAAGCTACCGTTCATGATAAACGACTTTTATTGTTGTCATCATCTGGATCTTATGGTCATGTCGAAAGCCTGATAATTCCATATGGAAATATCATCTTTGCCAGCTTTCAAATATTATCCAACACTATAAATCCTTCTTCTTCAAAATTATCATTGACTAACAACAATAACATTGGTAATGGTAATTTTAGTGAATCTACTCCTTGTTCACCAACATCTACTTTAAAATTAACAACTCCAGTATGTATGACTGCTGTTACTGGTAGTAGTGGTGATGATTATAGAAGTGGTAATAAAAGACCAAGATCACTCTCCCCACTTCTTTCAATTAGTTCCTTACAACAACCACAACATCATCATACTTTATATAGCAAAAGACATAAAATGTCATCACCAAACAACAATAATAATAAATTGTCATTATTTCCGTCACAACCAAGACCACTTGTTGTCGATGATTCAGCTTATAATACTTCAAATCCTATTTCATCGCCTAATCATCATCACCATAATAATAACAACGACAACAACAATCAACATTTTTTTCCACAACAACATTATAATAACAACAATAATAACGATAATGAAAAACCTTCAATATCTTTATTACAACAACCTTATTTCATAAATCATTATAATTACAATGTTTACCATCACAACAATTACCAAAATCATAATAATTTGCATGTTCATAACAATAACAATCATAATAATTTGCATAATAATCATGACGGCGACGGCGACGGCAGCGGCAACAATACATACCCATCACCAAAAAGTCATAATAACAATCTACCATTTATTTCGCACAATCCATCATCGTCAATATCATCTCCACAACAGTCACATTCATTAGCACAAAATAACAATCATCACATCAATCATCAATATCAACAATCACTGATGTTATCTTCGACAACAGCAGCAACAGCAACAACAACAACAATTCCAAAATCTCAAAAACCCAATTCTTCATCTTTACACTCTACTCGATCACCTGCGTCATCGCAAAGAAAAAATAATAATGGATTAAAGGAGTGTGAGAGTTGTCATACAAATACTAGTCCTGAATGGAGAAGAGGTCCAACTGGACATAAAACGTAATTATCATTTTATTTTAAAATTTTGTTTTATTAATTTATTCCCAACAACCATATTAATATATTATATTTACATTGTTGTTCCGATATTATACCAGTCTCTGTAATGCTTGTGGATTAAGATATTCTCGTACCATAGCAAGAGAAAATCGTAAAAAAGAACAAGCTCAGTCGGAAGAAGAGATGAGGAAACGTGAACAACGTGAACGTGATGATATGGTACGTGAACGAGCGCAAAGAATGATGGATCATCAATTATTGAATAATTCTCATGCCTTTTATTATAAATAATAATAATAATAATAAACTACTTCATAGAATATTAATCATCATAATCTATACAATTGCATAATCATCATAATCATCATAATCATCATCATCATAATCATTATCACTCATCATAATCATCATCATCAAGTTAACTTTTTTGAAAAAAAATAACTTGATGATAATAGATTTTTTTTTGTAAAATATTTATTTTTATTTTTATTTTTATTTTAATATTATTTAAATATATACATATATATATATCTTCCCTTTTCTACTTTTTTTGAATTTGATATTAGTATTATTAATGATTTAGCAATTATTTTTTTGGGGGGTTAGAAAACTTTCTTGTTATTTTTTTTTCGGGGAAATGGTTTATTTTTTCTTCTTTTTTTAACTGTTAAGGCTTTTTTTATTTTGTGAATCAACTCATTGGTGGCAAATTACTTTACTTTTCTCAAAGTTATCAATATATATTAAGACATCGATCACGATTTGATTTTTTTTTATCACTTTATATATATATATATATATTTATTTATATATATATATGTGTTGTTGTATGTAAAATTTATGTAAAATTTATGTAAAAAGTTTTATGATTTATTTTTATTATTACTTTATATATATTACTTTTCTCTCTTTTAATTATGAAAAATATATTATGGTTTTTTACACTATATACATCTTACTATCGTAATAATAATTAATAATAATATTAATATTAATAATAATAACAAATAAAAAAATTGTAGAAAAAATTTTCTAGATTTATTATATTTATAGTCTAGTTTATTATCACGTGGACACGCGATGCAAGATTGTGCATTGTGCTTTAGATGTAAATTTTTTCCAGAACATTGCTAAACAAATAAAAAAAGGCATGTTACTCTCTTATCTATTGTTTTTTGTGTCAAGATTTTATTTATTGTATTTTGCCAAAAAAAAAAATGGAGATAAGCGAATATTGCTTTAAATCTTTTTTTTTGGCAATGATAAAAATTTTATGCATAATAATCTGACAGATGATCTCCCTTTTCATCCAAAGACATTATAGAGAAAAGTGATCATAATCTTCAAAGATAAGATTATCTTTTTATAGAAAAAATGACGATACGATTTTTTTAATGCAACTTCAAAATTCAGTGATTAGCCAATCATTTATATAAACATCATCTTTATTATAGTAAAAATAATCAATCAGTCCATCTTTTAATCTATTTCTCGTAATTTTTCTCACACAAAAAAACCAAACAAACAATAATAAATAATAAATCTTTTATTCCTATATTCTTATATATATACATCTTAATAATCTTTTTTTGTTTTTCTTCCTTGAAATTTCTTTTTAAAAAGAGTTAAATTTCCCAAATTTTTTCGGTTTTTTTATCTCATGCAATCTTTTACTGAAACTACAGCAGCAGATTATATTTCACTTCAAGGTAAATAAATATATACATACATTATGTAATATTAACGAACAAAAGTGAATAAAATGAATTAATTAAATTAATTAAATTAATTAATTGAATTAATAATTTTTCTTTTTTTGCTTTTTTTTTTATGTTATATATAGTTTGGAAATCTTCTTCAACCGGAATATAAATAATTATTTGTTATAAACTTATTAAACACCATATAATATTAATTAATTAATAACCACACAACAATTACAATTATTAAATAAATTTTCAACTATCGACAAACAACTCATTCACATTAAAAATAATAATTAATAATAATAATAATAATAATAATAATAATAATATAATAATAATAACAACAACAACAACAACAACAACTACAACAACATCAAGATGCACATGTTATCAAAACCTATTCTTTCAAGTCGTAACAGACTCTCAACATCAGTTTTCTTCACCACTACAACTACTAAAAAATCGCTTAATGCATTCAAAATTTTAACTGCCTCACGCAACTTAGCAACTGTGACCGACAAGTCATTCATTCTCAATAAACCACCACCTGCTCCATATGCCAACGTTGTTGATAAACCAATCGCCGCTGCATTAAAATTAAAAGACGGTCAAATATTTCAAGGAGTTTCATTTGGTGCTCAAACTCCTGCTTCTGGTGAAGCTGTTTTCACCACTTCGTTGGTCGGATATCCTGAATCAATGACTGATCCCTCGTACCGTGGCCAAATATTGGTCTTCACCCAGCCGTTAATCGGCAATTACGGTGTTCCAGGAATATTCAAGGACCAATATGGTCTCTTGAAATATTTCGAATCGGACCGAATTCAGTGCAAGGCAATAGTTGTCAATGACTACGCGCAAAGATATTCACATTGGACAGCGGTAGAATCACTCGGTGAATGGTGTGCTCGTCACGGTGTACCTGCTATATCAGGAGTAGACACTCGTGCCATTGTTCATATTTTAAGAAACCAAGGTTCCACTTTGGCTAAATTGGTCGTTGGTGAAGATGCAAATACCCATAACTTTTCAAAAATTGATTACGAAGATCCAAATAAAAAAAATTTGGTCCAAGAAGTTAGCACAGAGATTCCTGTATCATACAATCCATTTGGCGATATTAAAATAGCTGTTATAGGTTTGTATTTACTTCTCATTACTTTGGTATTAAATAATAACTGCTAGCAATATCATGTTAATTATAATACTAATCTTATTTATTTATATAATATATAGACTGTGGTATAAAGACCAATATCTTGAGATGCCTTGTCGAAAAGGGTGTCTCTGTCACTGTTCTTCCATGGGACTTTGACTTTAATAAAATTTCCAACCAATTTGATGGTCTCTTCATCAGCAATGGCCCCGGTGATCCAACCAAAGTCTTAAAAACAGTGGAGAATCTTCGTGTAGCTTTAGACACATATAAAAAACCAATCTTTGGAATCTGTATGGGAAATCTGTTACTAGGAATGGCTGCAGGTCTCCCCGTCTATAAGCTCCGGTTCGGGAACAGAGGTCATAATGTTCCAGCTCTTAATGTCGGAACCAACAAGTGTATCATCACATCACAAAATCATGGTTAGTTTTATTTGTCCGTCTGTTTATTTTTTAAATATTAAAAAGACCCCAATTTGATTTTATATTTATTTATTTATTTAAAATTAAATTTTCAGGTTATGCCCTTGATGACAAAGTTCTACCACAAGGATGGGAAAAATATTTTGTAAATGTCAATGATGGATCTAATGAAGGTATTCGTCATGTCTCCAAACCTATGAGATCTGTACAATTCCATCCCGAGGCCTGCGGTGGTCCACAGGATTCAAGTTACTTATTTGATGAATTTGTGGATCAAGTTCGTTCTTATAAACTCAAGCATGAAGGTGTTAAAACATTTATTGATACAGAAATTAGAAAACAACCAGTTTTAACTAGTTAAATTATTTTTTTCAAAAGCATTCATTTTTATATTTTTATATAATTAATTATTATCATTAATTCATTATGTAATTATATATATATATATTTAATACACATTAATTTTTGTCAATCAATTTTTATATTTGTAAAAAAACTATTTAAAAATAAAAAAAAGCTTGTTTCACACATCCACCTAGAAATTTGCCTACTGTTACTTCACTTCCAAGTTCTCCATCGAGAATCAAAAGGCTAGTTAATCAAAAAAGTGCGAATTTTAGTAATTTATTTTCGTATCTACTTTTGTATGTAAACGGACATCAAATGTTCACATGATGATGATGATCGAGAATTTTTTTGAAAGTAAAACATGACTTTCAAGGCAAAGTTATATATTAATGTCTTGCTTCTTGTCAGAGTAACTCTTTAAAATCGGTCAATAAGACACAGCTTTATTGACATATAAAAAATCGTTGCTGAAACAACAACAACATACAAGTTAAAAAAATAATTTGATAGTAAAAAGTTTAGATTTTTAGGATCCTTCGCATGATGAAAAATTTATATGTAAAAAAATTCCATCCACACAATCAAGTTGTTAATTTTTGCACCTAACTATTCAGATTTACATCTTGCAACTTCCATAAATCTATGTTGAAGTTATTAGGTACGCCAGCAGAAATATCGCCAGGAACACCATTGAAAAATAAGATGGTAGGAATAGGTATTTGATAGTCTTGAATATTAGCGTCATTACAAGGACCTGCCCCAAATCCGACACCAGTAATTGTATTGGCTGGAACATTTACAGTTCTTTGAAGATAATTTTGCGTGGAAACATGAAGAGATGCTGTCCCAAAAGACTTTACACGGTTGGATTTAATTTGTTACGTAAATAAAGCAGTGCAAGCAATGCAACATAACCATCCTGACGAGAAGGAAATAACTTGATGGCCAGATAGATTTTGAATAGTGGTACGTCGAGAATAATATTTTGTTGCCGTTTACACTTTTCGTATCTCTAATTTCCACAACTAAAGTTGGATGCGGTTTCCTGTTAAATTGGCTTGCCTGTGAGGGTTGAGGTTCCTTGGTCGAGCACAAATATCAGAACGATAGACACTTCTCGTATCCACAATAACATCTACTTCACCAATAACTCGCAACTGATCACTCCAGTTATCCATAATAACGACTAACTTTGCTTGTGAGAGTCGAGAGGCACTTCTTAGGCTTTGATATTTCGGTCTATTAAACGGTATTTGGCAGACATTCTTGGTTCTCCTTCACAAAACTTAAGATAAGTTCCAAGTGATACTTCTCTGTCAATAATAATTCCCTTTCGTTTTACTTCTTCGATTCCTTCTTGTCGCCCGATAGCAAGAAGCTTGTGTCTTGCTGAAATAGACGCTGAGGACCATTTAGAGAATAGTTCATTCTGCAATAAGGGAGACATGATATTTGAATGATGTGAACGACGTTATTTGCAGAAAAAAAACCGAGTTATTAGTATTAGTAATTGACTATTTTGATCGACACGTGAAAACTAGTTAATTTAATTAGGAAATTAGGACATAATTGAAAAATGGGTAGTGATCTTCAGTAAATCTTCAAAGAATTAAAACAAAGGTCCAAAAAAGGTAACTACCTTGCCATTTTTAGTAAGATGTTCGGTTATAACTTTTTTATATGATGTATTGCTAATTCGTGGAGCAAATGATCTACTACATTTAATAGTGAATTGTAGGTTAACAAGTTTTAGAAATGAAGGGATTGATTGATGTAAGCCACATCAAAAAAGTAATGGTTTTGTTTGCTAGGATTCTTCTCATGCATTAATTAATCGGAAAAGTAATAATTCTTTATTTATCAAAGAAATTAAATAGTTTTATTAATCGAAAAAGTAAGTTTTTGTTTGCCAAGATCTCCTTCATTAATCAAAAAGGTAATAGTTCTTAAAAGATTTGATCTAGTTAATATGCATTTTTTGTTATATTATTCTCGTAAATTCATATTAAAAATAATTTACTTGTGATTTAATTTGGCGTCCTCAGAAATTAGATTTTGATTAGATTTTGAGTTCGTTTGATTTTGATTAAAGATTATCTAAAATTAAATATTTAATTTGTACAACCTTGAAATCTTTGAAAAGAAGGATATTTGAAATATCAAATATTTGTAATTATTTCAAATATTCATAATTATTTCAGATACTTGTATTTATTTTGAATATTCATAATCATCTTTTATTTTTTCAAACATTACAAATATTCAAATAGGGGTAGGATTACAGTTGTGAACCATACTCTGCAAAAAAACATGTCATTTTTTTAAATATTTTATTTTATTATTTTTTTTACAAAAATTTAAAATTTTGACTTGTAAATTTACTCAAATCCCAAGATTATCATAAATTTATGAGGCAGATCAAATCAAATTTTTAATTTCTGAGGACACTCGATGTGATTTATGGTTGAGTTGATGTTTTTTTTGGCAAAGGGAATTAATCGGTGAATTTCAGAGTTTGTGCTTTATCCTTTTTTTTTTTTTTTGAGTTGGCATATTGCCGTGCAGAAGATGAAAAAAGTTTGTCCATTCAATTCATTCCTTGAGATCGATATTGTATCTCAGATAGTATTTATGATAGGTTCATCGGTGACATCAGGGATATTTTAGTTATTAGCAACCGTTGCAGCTCGGAAACATTGTCGCATACACTTAAAGATGCCTTCTCTTAATACATTGAAGTGATTATGATAGTAAATTTTCACTCTGGTAATCTGTCAATACTCATTATTATTATTGGATTTTCTGAAAATGCTTGTCTTCTATCATTTAATAATATTTAGAGAAACATTCGCCCTTGCAATTGGCAACCAAATATGTTTCTGCTAATTCGTTGTTTTTTTCTTGCTGATTTTTCTAAATCAAAATCTCTCTTGATCCACAGTAAAATTCAGCAATAAGATCATGGAGTAACCCAAGATTAACGCCTGTTAACTGAAGATTGATTTATTATTCTATTTTTTTTATAAATTTTGCTTTCTAAATGGTTATCATTTAAATTTTTCCTGTCAATATTAATTACATGACTACAAAAACGACAAATAATCTTCCTTTAACTTTCATAAATATTCACTTGCAGATTGATTCAAATTGTAAAATAATTAAGTTGATAAATCATACTTTATTATTATTATTCTTTGTGCGAGTTCTGCAAATCCGGTTAACGCTTATTCTAAATCTCACTATTATTATTATTATATTTGTCGTGTTTCCGCTTGGTCACGAGGGTGATTATGGTAACTTCTTTTCATTTCGGGTTAAATATACTAATTGTATTTGCGGTCCTCGATGTCTATCTAACGATAATGATCCGTCTAACTGGATTTCCTGTCCTCGAATGTTGAAATGATCGTTAATATTAATGGTCTTTCTGGCACTTGTGGAACCGTTTAAAGTCTGAAGTGAGAAAAAGGCTACAAAGTTTCTAGGAATTCAACTAATAAATTCTTATATGATAGGATCAAGTTGACACGCCTTGGAGTTAGATTTAGTAATGACAACCAGTGGCACGATAATTATTTTGATGTTTTTCACATATTTATTCTTTTGCTTATTCGTTTGTTATTTTGTTTGTTCACACTTTGATTGTTTTTCAGCAGCAGGGACAATATAATGGATGTTTATCGTTTTGTCTATTTAGATAAAATATCATCATTTTCATTGCTTCACTTGATACATATTATTGCCCTAATAACCAAAAAATATTGTCGTTATTATTATTCTAGCAAATAATAAATTGATCAGTTATTATATCATTCGCCGCGACATTCGTCACCCTGTTTTATTTCTTAAAAAAAGTTAAGGAAAAGTAATTACCTGACCCCATTCCTAAAATACTCGTGTTGCTTTTATCAAGATCCAATCTTAATATGCTCATGTTCCTGATTTTCATGATCAATTGATTGCCGTTTCATCACAATCTATTATCAACCGGTTAATTAATAATATTACATAATTGAACATGCACAACTTCTGATGTTCTTGGACCCTAAAAAAATTTTTATAAATAAAATAATGGCCACTCACATATCAAGAGAAAAGTTAAATTAATTAATAAATCGAAACTTAAGATAATATTAATTAAAAAAAACCCCCCTATCTGGCACCTCTCGTTTGGATACTTTATAATAATATAAAGATATAATGGAATTCAGATATGCCTGGTTTATAGATTAATTGTATAATAGCTATTACCTTAATTAAATTGTATTTATGTATGTTCTTTTGATATTTTCGTAGCTGATGGTGTTTTTTTAATAAATTATTTACGCGTGAGTTAGCTGAAGAGGGATATTCTAGTGTTGAAGTCAGAGAAACAATTGCAAAAACTGAAATAGTTATTCATGCAGCTCATACATACTAAAATGTACTTGGTGAAAAAAGTCATGGAATTCGCGGATTTAAAAAATTTCTTTGAAATTGCATGCAGAAAGGTGCAGAATCGTGGTCTTTGTGCTATTGTACAATGTGAGTCTCTTCGATATAGGTTATTAGAGGGATTTACTTTAAAAAATTTTTGAAAAGAGTATTAAATAGCAACAACAACAACAACATGTTCACTGATTTGTTTATTTATTATAATAAATTAGGGCTTGATATGGCATGCTTCGCTTAATCTGTGGATTTATGATTCATCCAATACGTCGCGTTTTAGGCATTAAAAGTAAAAATTAGAAAGTATGTAATTGTATGTTTGTTATTTTACCTATTTTAGTTTTATTTATATATCATAAATATTATAATGTTATTATTTAATATATTATAGGCTGGAGATTCGGATGGAAAAGAGGCCCAAAACCGATTTACCCGATATTAATATGTTATCATTCCGGTAAATAACAATGATATCAAAACTTGATTGATTTTATTATAACAAATTAATATATCACAAATAAATTATTTCTTTATTTTTAAATCCCCAAGATGAATCCGAATCATCGCACAACCTAATTCTATGGATTCTAAAAACCAGCAATACCACTTTCTGATATTGCGGCTATTTCACAATCATCATCTATTTCTCCTGCAGAATATAAAGGTGGCGGATGAGGAAAAGGAAATCATGAGTATCTTATTGCTCGACTAGATGATACCAACACTTACAAACTTCAGAGTATACGAGTGCCAGATGTCGATCAAATGTTTGGACAAAGTCATGGAAAAAATATTTAATTGAACTGGTATATCTTCGTGGGATATGTGATGTTATATCCAAATTTTAGTAATTTCACCAATTTCATACAGAGTTTTGTGTACACATTCGTTCTGATCCAGGTTCCATGTTTGGTGTGCCATTGATGTAAGAGAATATTAATTATCTGACGGTCAACTAGCCAATTATAAGGAATTGCCTGTGATTTATGGGAAAATCTTACCAAATATAATGAATTAGTGTATCATGGCCATCCTTTTCAAGCCAATGTGTCATTATGTAAAAATAATCCACACGTGATCCAATTGAGAAATGTAAAGAATTGGCCAGGTTTGAATATCATTGATAGATGGGAATAACGGGGAAAATTAGTTGATGAATAAACAGACATTAATCAAGATGACAGTAAAAAATTGGTAGATTTTAATCAAGAGGTTAAATCGAGATATACTTAATGAATTGTTTAATTGATTGATTGATTGATTGATTCATCAATTAAAAAATTTGTAATAACACTGTATATCTGTTCGTTCATTAATCCCTTTATTTATTCATTTATTCGTTAATTCATATTTTGATGGAAGTTTTCCTTTAACAATTTTCTTATTTTTTACATTATCACTCATTTTCACTTTCACAATTTGTATTTGATTCTTCATTAACATAAGTTTCAACAATCTTTGATAAATTCATTTTCCAATATATATATACTAATTAATTATTGAATTATTGTTGAGCGGATGGATGAATTATTGATATTTTTGATGTACTATTACTATTATTACTATATTAACGGTTAATCTCTAATATCTAATACTAACGCTAACCAAAATCAGATGTTACCACAGTTATGATAATCCGAGGTCCTGCTTGCTTCAAACACCCTTAATATTAAGAGTTGTACAAAAGGGGTTCACAACAGAATTTTTTATCTCGACGTTAAATCTTTATTATTAAAATCATTTTACCCCCTAACACTATAATATCTTTGGGTAACTTTTTTTTCATTTATTTATTTTCCTACAAAAACTAAATTTATAATCTTTTAACGAAATTTTGCAATTAAAATTATGAATTATAATAAATCAACAATTTTTATTATTACTATTATTACTTTAATGAATTTTCTGGTAAACTTTTTTTGAATTACTCTTCATAATTCATCATTAATTAATTAATTGATTTTATGTATTTTTAAAGGTAGCTGAGATCCAATCTGAAGAAATTGATGGTATTTCGGAATTACAACCTAATTCAACTTGGTATTATTGTAGTCAAAAGAGTACTTCTTCGATTGGTAAGTTTAAATTATTGTTTTCCTGATTATAACAATTTGCAAATGGATAATGATATTAATAATAATAATATTATTTTTCAAATTTCTTTATATCATAAACAAATCAAAAAAAAAAAAAAATATATAGCTTTTAATGCAAATGTAATCTTAAATCAAAATCCAAATCCAAAGTTAACATCAAACTTTGGCACAATAACAACATCAGGTCCAACATTTTATTATCCAAATATTACAGATTTTATGTTGGTTCTAGTAGTTGACGATATCGATAAATATTTATCAACTTCCTCTTCCTCTTCGTCACCGCCATCGTTCAGTTATTATCCTGATGTTTCATGTGCTTCTAAACCTATAAGAAAATGTTTGGAAAATAGTAAAACCATAGTTCTTAGTTCATATGCAAATTATTGTTTAGTTGTTGTAAATCCAAGTGTTAACACTATTGATTTCTCGATCGCGTTAACCTTTGATAAAAATACTCAAATCTCAAATGGTGGCGATAATCGCAATAAAATGATTGGAAAGATTTTTGTAAATGTCATTGTAATCGCTTTAATTGTTTTCTTGATTGTCTAAATTTTTCTTGTAAATTTATTTATTTATTATTTATTTGTATTATTATTGTTGTTCTGAAGATTAGTTTTTTTTGTAATATAATAATTATCTTAATTATTTGCAAAAATTTTATTTATTTATATAAAAACACTACTACACAAAATTCATTAAAATTAGCTCACATAATAAATTTACACGCCCACCCCCAGATATAAAATTAACAGTATTTACAACTAAATTGATCAAAGCTTAAGCAATCAACCTATAAAATAAAATTAATTAATTGCAGGAATAAATAAATTTAATAATTTTCAAAATAATATATATATATAACTACCCCAGGCATGATAATTTTGTCCTTGCTTTGTGGATTGAAATCATCTATTATAATGAAATGTCGATATTGTTTGTAGTAGACTAATTGCATTCTGCCCATTGAATAATAACAATTTTCCTTTTCGTTGATCATTGATATCTATAATAATAATAACAATTAGAGCAATTAATTGATATTATCTTTATAAGAAATAATTATAATAATAATCTTGAGAAAAAAGATTTGATACAGACACTATACAGTTCTACCGGAAGTAAATATTTTATGTATCCTTCGTTAAGTCCATCTAGGATTCCTTTATAATTATTAAAAAGTCTACATAATTAATATTAATAATGATATCGTTAATATACTTTTTTTGGTGGTTACTGGATTATGAATACTTGATAAAAAAAGCATTATCATTTTTTACCTTTGAGCTGAAGATTTATCTGTTTTAGTTAATAAACTAAAAGTATTTAGCATCATTTGAAGAATATACGGATGAATTTTAATTACCCAATTATTATGCTAAAAAGAAGTATTAATAAATACAATAATTAATTCAATGTATATAGGAAATTAGTTATTTAAAAGATAAACATTAAAAATAACAATAAATACTCTATTAACGTATTCCTTTAGTCCGTATGCCAGAGAACCAAATTCTGTAAGAGCCTTTAAAGTTGGCATTATGATTCCACCAGGAATTAAAATCTCTTGTGGACAGATTTCTTTATCAGCAAAACTAGGTAGCATAAAAAATTTAAGGCTTGTTCGACTTTTTAATTTCATAAAATTATCAACGAATGGCAATTTATATATAAATAGTGGGTGAACCTAATAATAATATATTATAATATAATTTAAAAATAATTTTAATTATTTGATTTTTTTTTTTTTAAAAAAATTATTTTTGAAACTTACAAGTATTAAATCCAAATTTACATCTTCAAGATTTGACATTTTAGCACCAATATAGTTCATATAACATTCCATATCAAAACTTTCTGCTTGGTCTGGTGGTGATAATAAGCAATAATTTGATTCTGAAAAGCTTTTATAAAGATTCTCTGGCAATTTTATGGCTCTATTCATTTCTGCACCTGTATAAGTTTTGTAATCTTTAAAATCTTTATCATTAATAAAGTTACTGTTGATTGTAATGGCTTCATTCTCAAAATTTGTAAAAAAACTTTTATTCACTCGCAAAAGAATGAAATTGCATTCAACGCGTGGAATATGAAGCATTTGATTAATGTTCCCACTATTTGGTAGAAAATATAAAACCCAATCGTTGAGAATTGTAAATGAAGCCTTTTTTTTAAATAATCAATAAAAAATAATTTAATACTTTTACTGATATAGAAATCATTAGAAATTAATTGATTCTTAAACCTAACTCTTTCACTCCATTTATGCATCATTTTCTCTCTCTCTATAGCTTCATGATCACCTGAAACAAACACCATCGATACAAAAGTTGGACCATATCCATTAATAAGATTAAAAACATTGAAAACATAATTCAATGGATGAAGGTTTTGAAGCACTATTTTATCTAAAGATTTTAATGCATCGCTAAAATAATAATATGCATGCATCAGTATTTAAGATTACTATCAACAAAAAAAAAATTGTTTAATAAATATTTTAATTACAATAATTCCAAGTCTGGTGTCATTCTTGGCCAAGGATCAATATGAACTCTACTAATATATATCGGTATCTTTTGCGATCGCACCATTTTGTAAAAACCACCAGTCCATTTTCCTTGAAAAGTAGGATTTATTAATGATAATTCGTTCGATTCTTTTTGTTCTGTAATTTCCAGATTACTTAATCAAACAAAATACACACACTCGTTAGGATTGCCATTTAAAAAAACAGACATAATAATAGTAGTAATAGTAATAAGTTATTAACAAACTTTGGTGACTTGTTAAGTTGATGTGAATGTGGATTATTTTGAGGAACATTAAGTGATTGTGAACTATTTGAAAAAGTGTTCGTTGCTTGTGAACTATTTAAAAAACTAACTGTTGCTTGTGAGTTATTTAAAAAAGGATCGGTTGCTTGTAAATTATTTTGAGGAGCATCAAGTACATGCGAATTATTTAAAAAGGTGTTTGTTACTTGAGAACTATTTAAAAAAGTGGCTGTTGTTTGCAAATTATTTAAAAAAGAGTTTGTTGCTTGAAAATTATTCTGAGGAAAACAAAGTGTCTGTAGACCGTTTAAAGAGGCATTTATTACTTGTGAGCTATTATTAGTAACAATAGGTGAATGTGAATTATTCTGAGGAACATCAAGTGGGTGTGAACCATCCTTAGGAATATTGGCACTTCTGGACTGATTAGGATAGGTGTTGATACCCTCCATTGATTGTTGTGCATTATTATTTAGAAAAGTAGTATAGTAATTATCTTTATCTCTCGTCAATGTGTAATTATTTGAGGGTGATGAATAATTAGTTCTATATTCAGATATTGGTGGAATTTCATTTTCAATATCCATATCTGAAGATGAGTCTGTTGGGGGTGGCGATTCTATTGAACCTTTGGACACACGTCTGAGATTATTATTGGGACGATTCGCATTCGGTAGGGATTTAGATCGAGATCTCATTGCTTTTATAAATATATATAAATATTTTTTATCAAATCGGAAAGTTTAAAAAAAAAAAAAATATTGTTTTTCAACTAAAGAAAGAATTACCTTCAAATTTTTTCAAGTCATCCCATAATTCATCAATACTGCGCCGATCAGCCTATTATGTAATTAAAAAATTAATTAATTTACTTCAAAGTTTGGAAAAAAAAAAAAAAAAGTTGTAACATACATTTGTATAGTTATTACGAGGCAAATGTCTGGCTAATTGTTTGTTATTATTGTTGTTGTTATTATTATTTTTAGGCGTTGTAGTAGTGATGTGTGGTTTGATTAACTTTACTAATTTTTGTTTTTTAGCTGAAGGCTCATTATTATTAGTAGTAAATGATGTATTTTCTTTTGATTTAGGATTATAACCACAACCCAATTTATTTAAAAATATTTCAAGTTTTTGCTGACAATGCAAATGATGCTCTGGCTCCCATGTCATGTCATCATATCCTAATTATGTTATCATAAAGGAATCATTTATTTATTATTAATAAAAAACGATAAAAAAATACGCGTATCATATAATGAACAGCATTTCTTTATTAGTTTTACCTGCCCATTTTATCAAGTAATAATTTTCTCCATATTTAGTTCTCATGTCTACTATTTTATCAACTTCGTATTCTTCACCAGATTCTTCAAACAAGTTATATTTTTCTTTTACATAGTCATTTTTACTCCTAAGATCTTGTTCTGATTTTCTAGACATTATTATATTGTGTTTGATATTTTATGTTTTATGTTTGTTTGTTTGAACAATGAAAACCAATGTTTATTTTTATTTATCCAATGAAAATTTTTTATAACATTTTTTATGTTCTGAGTTTGTATAACTACTACTACTACAATTTAACTTTTAAGGGAAATCATCGGACACTTATATGGAAATTTCAGGGACCAAAATTGAATTGCATCTCCAAAAAAGTAAAAGGATTAATTCAGTTTTTATTTTTGCCTATTAGGGGAGAGACGTAACATTCGTGTAGCGCATATCATAGTCAATTGAATGTTTGTTACTTTAGGACCAGGAAAACTATATTGAATGTCACCGCCAACACTATGATTCGAAAATACTTTAAAAAAGAGGAAAGGTGACCGCGACACTTATAATTCGGGTCAATAGAGAATTATATTTAAATTCAAATAAGGAAAAAAATCACGCCATAGGGGGTACTGATTAGCCCATTTTTGGTTAATTATTGTAAATTATTTCCTAAACAGAAAAAATCAACCAATCAACTTTCGAGATTCGCGTTAATATGATCAGGCGCTTAATTTGGCGGTGACATTCAATAGAGTTTTTCCGGTCCTGTTACTTTATTATTATTGACCATCCTTGAAATTTTATCAGCACTTAGAGCGGTGGTCCGTTTTGGAACCGTCCTTATTTTTTATATATAGTAGATTTTGAATTTTTATAATATTCGAATTGTTTATTGAAAAACTCGTGTTCAAACTGAAAAATGTCACCATAGGGCTACTCGCTAATCCATTTTGATTAGTCTTTGTTAATCATTACCTAAACAGAAAAATTTAGTTTTGATCAACGGGGTTTAAAGAAAAAATACCTTATAGGTAGGGAGGGAGGGATACTTAATTTTTGAACCCTTACAGCTCTGGCTACATATTAAATCAAAAATTTGGTGTAAGCAACATTCTAAAAATCAAATCTATCAACAATGTTTTTTTATCTTGAAATTCATAAAATTTGCTGTGTCAAACCTAGGAATCTAGACTGTAATAGGATTTTTTTTCTATTGAAATGAACTATGTTAAATTAATATGCAACAATACAAATTTATTAAATACCAACTATGGTATTTTGATATTAATGGTCGCGTAACAACAATCCATTGTTCAACCATAGATCTGTTTAAATAAACATTAATACAATGTTGCATACAATAAGAATTATTATTGATGGTACATAATAAGTAATACCAACGAGAATATTTTTGACAATCATCCGTCGTCGTCCAACCATATATACAATGGGAATTATTATTAATAATAGTATTGGTAAATATGTATTTTCGATGGTCGTGTAACCGTAATCCATAGTTTAATCGTAGATCTGTTTAATATAATGTTATATACAACATAATATTATTACCACTAATAATAATAACAGCGACAATAATAATAACAACAACAATGCTCCAAAGAAAATAATCTGGCGGTTGAGTAATAGTAGTTGTTGTTTTCAAGATGTAATAGTGGGTGTTATACTTGAACTTGTATATTTTCAAAGACACCAATCTATCTATCTTTTCAAAGATTATTTTTCTTTATTGATTCAAAAATTTTTTTCCTAATAATAATACTAAGAGAAAAATGTAACAAAAAATTAATTTCGCGTAATCATAATTTGGTAAACAAAACATTACTGATGATATTGAAGATCAAGAAAACTTGAAAAGTGATAAACATTGAATTAATAAATCAATGATTCATTTATTTAATATATAATCTATAAATTTTTATGATTAATGTACAGTACAAACGATGATGATAATAATTCCATTAAGAAAATAAAAATTATTTTCCTATGAATACGGTTTCCGTTTTTTTTGGAGCAATATGATCTATTCCAGCTTTTTTCTCTTTTCCTTGTTTATCTTTAATAATAAATTCATCAAGTGAATCAATTGTACTACCATTACCATCTGTATTAGTTGGATCACACTTTTCACATCTTGGAATATGTCCACTTTTAAGATTTGAAATTAAATGACAATTATCTGGAGGTCCAATGTTATTGCACTTGAAACATATATGTTGTGGATATGTACTTGTTAACTCTATCAACGAATCATACTCATTGTTGCTGTCATTAATATTGTCATTGTGATTATGATGATTGATTTCATTACTTGATTCATTGTTGTGGCTAGTATTATTAACATTATCATCAGAACTATCTTTAATTAATTTTTTTGGTTTTTTGTTCCTATTAGAATTTTCATTATTTAGCCCTTCGTTTATTTTATCATCATCATCATCATCATCATCATCATCATCATCACCACGTTGTAGTAAAAAATCTGAAACACTTGCGCTTTTTTTCCTTTTTTCTACTGATGGTTTCTTTGGAGGCATTTTCCCAAGAATTTCATTGGTGATATTAATGCTGGTGTGAAATGCATTAATAATACCGTCTGTTGAACCAAACATATCAATACCTATTAGGCTGTTACTAATCTTATTAGTGTTAGGAATTATTGTTCTTTTGCCTTTTTCAATTTGTTGTTCATGTTCGTTTTGTCTTTGAACAAGAATTTTTTGTGCATTATCTAATCTCAATGTTTCGATTTCTTTAAAATCTAACCCTTTAACATCAATATTCTTTGCTTCTTCCACACAATTGCTATTCCAACCTAATAACGAGTCTGGTAATTTAGCAAGCGATTGTTGAATCTCATTCATTGATTTTGTTAACAGACCATTTCTTATTTGAATTTCCGCTTCTTTGTAAGTTGAACACTCGGCGTATTGTTTTATTTCAACATCATTTCTCTTACTATCTTCATTATTGTTATTGGCATTGCTGTCAATATTTTGATTTTTATCATCAGCAACATCCTTTTCACTCATCCTTTCAACGAATTTTTCTACTCTAAATCTCAACTTATTTAAATAATTTACTAATATCATTGTTTCTGATTTCATTATTATTTTCTTTTCTCTTAATGATTTGACTTGTTTTTTTCCTCCACTTATCTTGTCCTTATTTATTTTATATTCTGAATATAGCCGAGCAACATTTTCTTTAAGGTTAATTATTCGTTTCTCTCGATATTTCTGGTACTCAAAATATTTATCCTCAAAGATTTCTCTAAGTATCTTTTCTTGATCTGTTAACCCATTTCTGAGTTGATCATTTCTTTTCTGTAATACTTCAGATTTAGCATTATCTAAAAAATTGTCACGTTCTAGAATCCACATTTCCCATTTATTCAGATGAACTGCTCCAGCTTGTGAACAATGATCTTTACAATACTATTATTGATGTACATGGCACAATTATTATATGATAATGATTATTATTTAATGGCCATCAAAAATTATTAAAAAAACTATTAAAAAAACTTACAACAAAAAAAGAATCTGACGTTTCAGAGTTATCATCATACTCGAGAAGGTTATAAGCATGAGCACATGTTACATGAATCCAGTTTTCACAACCATTTGCATCACAACTAACAGCAGCACCTTGACTAGAAAGTTCTCTAGGACATATACAACATTCCTTTATAAATATGAATAATAAATAAAATTCAATTCATTAAAATTAAACAACGATAATGGTAATGATAATATGATAAAAAAATATATTTTGTTTACTTTTCTCCAATTTTCTTTTTCGATATTAGCAATCGAACACTCGTTTAATTTTTGAATATTGGCAATCCACATTCCTGGCATCCATAAAGCACAAACCAAATGAACCCATGAATTCGTTTTGAAATCATCTTCTTCATGTAATCGGCGAAATGCTCCAGTTTTTTTCGGACATAAAATACATGACTACAAATTTATTCAAAAAAATAAAGTCTATATTTTGATTAATGACAACAATGATGATAACAAAAAAAGCTTTTTTTGAACATACCACCACTTCAGATGGTTTTGCAAGACATTTGTCACAATACCAAGGATCATCTGTAGAAGGTAAGTTTTTTATACCATGACATTCTAAAAATAAGGAGAAAATATATTAGAAATGAGAAGTACCACTACCTTGGTATTCTTCGATTAGATAATACCTTGATGACATATAACCTCGCATTTCTGTCCATCACAATACACCAACATATTTCCTACATCAGTTGCACCCTCAAGACACACACAACATATTCCTGGATCTTTAAATTTCTATAACAATTAAAAAAGCATTTAAAACTAACTTACTGCTACACTATACGTATGTGTATGCGCGTATATCGTTAATATAAGAGATGCATACCCATTTTTCCAAAAATGATTTTGCGGGATCTTGTTCATCAACTTCTTTTCTTGCTCTAGATTTTCTGGTGCTTTGTTTAACTATTTTTTCAAGATACTGATCTTGTTTATCATCGTTGATAACAGCATTGCCTGTTTCGCGTTTGTTATAAATCGCTTCTGGTCCTGCTGATTCTTCGATATAATTGATCGGATTGTTTTCGACGGTTTGTTCTATGTTGTTAGCATTAACAAGAGCCATTTTTTTTACGCGATCTTTATGTAACAGATAATAGTAATATATAAAAGCGTGACGGAATTTCTCTTTATCACATTATTATTATCACGATGTGACGATCATGAATTTATGCTGTGCTACAAAATAAATCTTGTGTACGCGAAAGTCCATAACTGATAACCAACCACTAGTGATTGGTATGGGACATACTCCAACGAAAACCAACAAAGTCCATTAATTGCACCTATAGCATTTTTTAAACCACCAATTTCTTCAAATCCACCACAAATTGAAATGCGTCTTTCATTTCTTGGCCATTGTACATAATTCAATTTAGATGATAACATATAATTTTTACATATTTGACACGAGAAGTACAGTACCTTTTGAAACTCATACAGGTAGTTCCTATTATTATTGAAATATTAACAAATAGCCTTTGAATATCAATTAAAAAAATTTATTATTTGAATGCTTCTAATTCATCATATACTATAATTTACTATATTAATGTTACTATAACAATGACTTACACCACAAATAACATGATTAATTGGTGTGACTAACCACCACTAAAAATAGCTAAATTTGAAGTATGATGCAAATTGCTCATTAATAATAATTTTTGAATTCAATTTTACATGTATATAAAACTTTTTCAACAATAAATAAATTGTTAAACAGATTTAAAGCTCTGAACAGTTCAGTTCAAATTGAAGAATTTTTGATTTTGGTTTACCCTTTGAACCACCTGTCGTCGTCACTCTATTTATTATTATTATTATTTTATTTTTTTTATTTTATTTTTTTTTTTAACATTAAGTTAAGTTTGGATGGAAAGTCTGTGTTCATTTCATTATGAAAAACCTTGTCAATCTTGACCAAAGAAATACAAATAAGGAAATTGTTTGCATAAAAAACTACAAACCTTTCTTATATATATGTATATTATCTTTAGTTTTACAAATATATCATTTTTGTTTTTGAATGAATTTAATTGCAATTGGGTGAAATTAAAAGTGATTATGATTGGCGTGTATTTAAAAAATGTATACATACGTTGTGATACATGACTCAGCTGCAACAATTAAATTTTTCTGCTACACTAAAACAGATAACAAATAAATGATTGAAAAATAGACAAAATTTTTTTTTTTTTTTTTTTAATTAATTAAAAAAAAAGAAATAACAATCAATAATCCAAGATTTATTGATCGTACTAAAACAGGTTTTAATAAATAATAAATGATTATTTTTAGAAAATTATTGTTTATTTCTAAAAAAAAAATTGAATTGTTGAAATTATTATTTTTGATGAGATTTATTGATCATATAAATATTAAGATAGAATTTCTAAAAAAGCAATTGAAAAAATTTCTAGAATCATTATTTTGAATTAACATAATAAGTATACTGCAAATTATGTGTGCAAAAGTTTGATTAAATTTTTTTTCAAAAAAATAATTGAATTTCCTTTAAATAAATGACAGCAAAAATCAGAAAACACAGAAATTTTGCATGCATATTCTACAGGACCCTTGACTACAAGCTATATATACTTATTACATGTGATTTTCTAAAACAAATAAACAAATGGATAAATTTATTTATTATTTATCAAAAAAAGAAATAAAACTTTAAAGTATATAAAATATGATTGATTTTGGACTGAGATTGA